TCCTTGCTTTCTTGCTTCCACTGCCCTCCATGTCTCAACTTCATGATACTGTCCACTTGGGTGGTATCATCACTCCTTCCATAGGATTTTATCCTGAGTCTTTTTATCCAACAGGAAGATTCTATGGAGCACCACACCATCCGTCTAATTCTTTTCCCGGAGTTTCTTTGGGCCAAATGTTTTCTCAGTATGATTAGGAATCATGAAGTGGTCCCTTGAATAAATGTATCAGGTGTCAAGTTTCTAGAATGTATCTTCCTTCTTTTCTTCTTGTAAAAGAGTCAGTTCCTTTTTGAGCTCATCTCTTTCTTCTCACACTTCAGGACACTTAATCTATAGCAATCCCATCCCCTGAAGCTATGGGCTCACAATCCTGTGATCTCCTCCATTACTGCCTGTGACAGACTGCACAATATGAAGTGCTATTTCCCCAAAATTGGACATTAGTTTCCACACTGCCCACCGCCTAACCGCCCAGGCAGTGCTGCATATTTTAATCCTGAGTACTTCTGTTATTGCAGCACCCGTGGACTGGGCGATCTCCAAGATCCCTTTAAATGTCCTATGATTCTAAAATGATGCAGTTTGCTTCATCCTATAGTAAAATCCTGTTGCTAGAACACTATTGTTAAGCATGTGCATTACACCCGTAAATAAATCAGGATACAGAATAATATTGAAGTACATTTTCCTCTTGCGTGTGCTTAAAAAGAGCAGGATAATAAGGAGGGAGTACTGTGATCTGAAGTTGTAAGTCTTCCATAGTTTTGGTGGGATGGCACCATGTCAATCCGGGAAAAGGAGAACAAGAGACAGGGAACAGCGGAAAAGGCAATCTCGTGTGATAAGGGAGGGAGGAACAGATTGCTAAAGAATGTAATTGAGAAGAATAATTCCTATAGCTAAGGAGGGTGTGGTGGGCAAAGGCAGGAAGGACTCCACCTTTTTGAGTCTCCCAGGCTGCTCAGGCAAGGAGTTTATGGCAAGCTTCAGCAAGTGACTCAAGAAAGAAGCAGGGTTAGCAGTTAAAGCTCAGGGTCTTAGAGAGCACTGGTAATGCCAGGCTTCAATGACTTTCTTTAGGGGGATTTGAAATTCTATCAATCCTGGGCTTTGCAAGAACCTTAGCCAAATTAAGGGATGGGACCATGGTCATGGTAGAAACGGGTGGTATAGTGAGAACGGTAGGGACCAGGGCCAAGTGGCTTGACCCCTTCGAGTGTCACTTTCTTTCTCTGTAAAATGGGGACAATAAAAATACTTAGATTGTGAAGAGGAATAAATAAGATAATGCACGTACCTAACGTAGAATTAGTGCTGAGCAAGTGTTAGTGTTGGCGATAATGATGATGCTGGTGGTAATGGGGCCATGTAGGAGGTAATAAAGCTTCTCAGCCTTCTCTGTGCATTGTAAGCGCCTGGGAGCTTTTAACAACTCAATGCCTGGGAGGCACCTCGCCCAGTAAATCAGAATTGCGGGGAGCAGGATCCAGATATCAGTACTCTAATATCTCCCTTGTTGATTCCAGTGTGCAGTCAACGTAGAGAAGCCCTGCTTAAGGGCTTCTGGGGAACAAGGATGATTTATTAGAGTCAAATGCCTCAAAAAATAATAAAATAATATAAAATAATAGAATAAAATAAAGTAAAATGCCTCTAAAACATTTCACACTGGTCAAGTTTTCAGTGATGTGACGAAGGATGGTCTGTAAGAGTCATGGGTGTGGATCCATTCATTTATACAGTTGTTCCATAAGTTTTTCACTCAATCCTCTGAACAAGACAGAGAAGCTGTTCTTGGGGAGTTAACAGTCAAGTACAGAGCCAAGCGATAAGACCAATCCCAAATGTGAATGGCAGTGGCTTCAATAAAAAAATGGATCACAAAGGGATCTCAGCAATTTTTATCATGGCTAATTTGTTTTATTTGTTATTAATTTTTGTAAGTTTATTTATTTTGAGAGAGAGAGAGAAAGAGAGAAAGAGCATGTGCAAGTGGGAGAGGGGCAGAGAAAGAGGGAGAGAGAGAATCTCAAGCAGACTCCACACTGCCAGCCTGGAGCCCAACGTGGGGCTTGAACCCACAAACTGCAAGATCATGACCTGAGCTGAAGCTGGACGCTTCACTGACTGAGCCACCCAGGGGCCCCATGGCTAATTTCTTTTAAAAGGAAACACTGATATCAAAACATCAAAGATTTCTTCAATTTGGCTGGCAAGGATGTGGGCATTTTAGACTTTCCTTTTTTGTACACTTCTCCTTGTTTGGAATATTTCATCAAAGAAGATAATGCCACATTAACATAGAACTTAGGTGCTAAGTGCTTACCTAAGTGCTATGATGGGGTAAGATTAGGAAGCAGTGAGAACGAAGAAGAGGAGGGCCACCCAGAGTGGGTGTAGGAGGGTGGGGGGGGAGGGTCAAGGAAAGCTTTCAAGAAATCATTGACGGCGTGCCTGGGTGGCCTGTTGGTTAAGCGACCAACTTCGGCTCAGGTCATGATCTCACCGTTTGTGAGTCCGAGCCCCGCATCAGGCTCTGTGCTGACGGCTCAGAGCCTGGAGCCGGCTTCAGATTCTGTGTCTCCCTCTCTCTCTGACTCTCCCCCACTCACACTCTGTCTGTCTCTCTCTCAAAAAGAAACATTTAAAAAAATCATTGACACTTATAAAATAGGAAGGTGTCACAAGAGGATTTGCATCTTAGCGAGAACAAGGGGAGAAAGCAGAGATAGGGAGCTGGAGGTATCATTAGAAGACCATTTGGCCTTCATGTGAAATGTGTAAGGCCTGGCTAGACTAAGGCACCTACAGTAAGGATGGGGAGGAGGAGTGGAGACCAGAGACGTCCTGCTGTGAGCCGATAAATTCAGATACAGATGCAATTGGACGTGCGAAGTAAGCAAGAGGAGTTCTGGAATTCCTCTTGCATTCCTGGGGTGGGCTTTTGGGCAGACATAGTTCTTGGCATAAATAACTCAGCTAAGGCTTTCAGGATGAGCAATGGACTAGAAGCGAGAGAAAGTTCATCCGGCGAATGGTGCTTGTGGTACATCTAAGTGTCCACATCAATAGAATACATGGGCTCAGGAGAGAGGTCCAAGCCTGAGATGTAGGTATGGGACCATGGTGTACATCCAGTTCATCTCTTGAGGAAACGGAATACATTCACAAAACAGGATGACCCATAAAGGGCCTTTGAACACACCTGCTTTATAATCACGAGGATTGGGATGAGAAGAAAATTCTTCCAAAGAGGGCTGAGGAGAAGCAAATGGACTGATAGCAAGTGAGATCAGGAAAGAGTTCTGACCATGCCCAGGGGAAGGTGTGACTACCAAGTGGAAAATAACCGAAAAGGCAAAAAACCATGGAGAAGTCGACCGAATACCCACGAAAGGTATTACTAAATATAGCAATTTATTTGCAGGCCAATGGTGATTACAAAAGCCATTTCAGGACGCCAGGCTATAGAGGGGAACTTGTAGCATGAAAGGTACTCATTAAATGGTTGTTGGATTGCAAATGCACTGGGTTATTGCCATCGTGGAATAAGCCTTGAGCCTCCAGGCAGGGGTAGGAGATGTTGGAGAAGGAATGAGGTCTTTTATGGGGCTTCTCGGTCTGGCCCAGGAACAGTGGTTCTGCTGATGAATCTAGAGGGGAGACTGCCTTTTCCTAGCCTCGTTGAACTTGCCAACATTTTTGCCAACATTCTGCAGCTCTGATCCATTATCAGTAAGTGTCACCCGTTAGCCATATATAGAAACAGCAAGCAAGGAAAATGCACTGTGGGGGCGGATGACTCAGGGTGTTTGGCAAAGGGATAAATAAGCATTTTACCTTTAGTGGTGATAGATTGAGGGCCCTCAAGGAAAAGACTGCTGTCTGGTTCTCCTCGTCGCTCCTCTTCCTACTATACTCTTGTATAGCTCCGAGCACACCATCAGTAACACCCACAATAAACCATTAATTAAAGCTAGCTTCTGGACCAGGTTTGAACAGCCCAAAGTTGCCCCATGGAGCTGGGTGTATGTACGAGCGCGGTTCACAAATGATCACAGCCATCGCCTCTCCCATTTACCCACCCAACTTAGTAGCAGGTACTGAAGCCCAGATGAGGGAAGAAATCGTGTCAGCTCTGTTTCTGGTTGCATCTCTGGAACACCCTGCATTACCCCTACCACCGGGAGACAATCAGAAAATACTGAATGACAGTTGGGAGGAATTTGGGTGGAATCTTCTGGCACTCTGAACTTCCTTCATGCTTTTTCTGATTTCAGCCATGGGAGTTACATCAGCTATGGTTCAACCAGAGACATAGAACGAATACATACATATATAGTAAGAGGTTTATTACAAGGAATTGGCTCATACGATTGTGGGAGCTGGCTAAGCAGGCGCAAAATTCGTAGGGCAGGCAATCAGGAAGACAAGGTCACAAGCAGAGTGGAGCCCGGTGGGCATGGCTGAAGCTGTTGTCCCCAGGTACACTTTCTCCTCTGTCTCCGTTTCTCTGGGAAGTCTCGGCCAGGCTTTTAAGAGCTCCCAACTGATTAAGTCAGGCCCGCCCAGACTATCCAGTATAATCTCCCTTATTTACAGTCAACCGATTAGTGATTTTAATGACACCTGCAGAGCCCCCTCAACAGTCACATCTAGATTAGGGTCTAATGTAATAACTGGGGGCTTTAGCTTAGCGAAATTGACATCAAAAAGACCAACACGGGTGTTTAAGAATAATGTGTTAGAGACCTTGTAGATGAAAGAGAAAATAAGTTTGTGTGTGGTCAGAGAGAGAGAGGGAGAGAGAGAGAGAGAGAGAGAGAGAGAGAGATAGACGAAGCTGGTTCTGGAAGTTGGGGGACCTCCTTGTTCTCCCTTTGGAATCTGGAATCTCACAAAAGCCTGTTTGGGGGAAGGTCATTGGTATCTAACATATTGCTCAGGGAAACCATGAGGTTCTATAGCCTTAACACATGGAGGAAGAACCCAGTCTGATGTTTTAGGTAGGCGATGGGCCACCAGAACCAGCAGCCCCCCCTTACTTCTTTCAAACACACAGCGCGGCTCTGTATTTTCCTCCGGGGCTCCCCGCGCCAGGTGAATTTCTCCATAGCGGCACCAGAGGGCGCCCGAACTGAGGGAAAGGCCTCGGGACGCCAAGAGGACCCAAGCAGGTGCTACCACGCCGGCGACCCAGACCTCCCTGGCTCCGGTATGGCCCCTTCCCAGGGACCTCTCTTATGCCCACCTTTATGTGCCCGTTTCAGGGATGAGCAGACGGGAGCAAAGAGCTAGCAGATTCGCTTTCCTTCGTAAGGGGTGGGACGGGGCGTTTGCTGCGGAGGGAGGTCGTGGCCCCAGGACAAGGGAGAAGAGATGGGACTATCTCTTGCCTCACCTGTCAAATCATAGGCTCCTACCTTCTACTCCTGAAATCCGTGGGCAACTTGTCTTCGTGCTGAGAGTGTAGGAAGGCCCGCTGTCCCGGGAGAAAGGCACCTGGCGTCCACGCCCAATCCCATCGTCCGCCCCTGAGACCACCCGTGGGTGCCCTGCACCCCGGCTGCTGAAGTTTGCGGGCAGGTCTGCCTTGTCTCCCACTCAGCCGCCCCTCTCATCAGCAGCCCCACACCCTAAAAATCAAGGGTCCAAAGCAAACAGTCAGGTCTTTTCTGTAGGTTAGTATTATTACTTTTAATCTTGGGATTAAAAAGAATGTTATTGCAGCTAATATCATCCATCTGTCCTATCCTCTTCCCTCCTTAAAAGTGCAGAGTCTTAATAAAATGCTTTTAAAGGCAATATAGATGTTGAGGGGAAGAAAAATCACTAGAGGATTCCCACCAAGGTTTAATGCAAGGGCCTTATTAAAAATAATCATGGGCATGGCTTTTTGCAATTCTCAAAGGTGGATGGCTACTAAGGACAAGTAGAGTAGATCAGACAGTTGGAAATTATAAAGAGTGGCTGCTGCACTCATAATTTGCACAGTAGGGACATTTAAACACTCAGCAAAACTGAGCAATAAACACATTGCTCACTGAGATATAATGGAGGTCAGGGAGGGAAGCCGTGTTCTTCTTTTCTTGTCTGATGTAGGCACCTCGTGGCCTCAGCTTATGTGTGGTTTTGGAAAACTCTGGCAGGAATGAGTGTCTGGGAGACTTCTCAGTTGTCAAGAAGTTCTTACATTTCCTCAAGAAACTCAACCTACGTTCGTTAAGCCATGTCACAGAGCAAAGAGAATCAAATATTTTTTTAAGACTGCAGCTAATCCCGCAACTGAAACATGGTGGAAGGAATCCCACATAGGAAAGTTCTGTGAAATTTTTATAGGAAATGTGCAAAAACGTTGTGTTTAAATATCCTCCGATGAGGAAAAATCGAGATACACACCCCCGCCAAAAAAAGAAAAGAAAAAAGACACCATGATTTTTAGCCATCTAGTCTCAGACCTGCCCTCCTAGACTTCAATGAAATACAATGACATCTTTTTTGGAAAATATTTGTATATCAGTGAAAGCAAGAAGATTCTTTGAAAGATGTGTGTATTTGAGTAAGGCCAAACCTTTTATTATTTATGATTTTTTCATTGAAGTCGTAGGCTCACATTAAGGATTTTCTCTCCCTTTATAAGCATCAGCGCAGTGCAATAACTTCCTTTATTTGCAATCAGTATAATCCAGGGTTAACAAAGAACTTTTTAAAGAAAAAATGTGCCCTAATGAATTCAGTCCTTCTTTATATGCATTTTTATATGCACTAAATATATAAGGATAGTGTGTCCCTGGTAAAGTTCGTTTCTGCTGATGGGGTAACCCAGGTAAATCAACATCGAGTCCATAGCACATTATAGGTTCCATTTTATTGGGTTTTACCTTCAGGTAAAGACTTCTATTAAGAATGTACAAGTGCTTGCATACCTAACCTGCCTTGTTTTACACAGTGCTGTATACATAATCTCTTTAAAAAAAATTTTAATCAAAGCATGCTATATTGAATACATTTAATTGGAATCCAGTGGTTAAAAAATATAAAAATTTACTGCTGTAGCAAAGTTTTGATTAGTACTTTCCATGAGCAAGTGTTGTTGAGTAAACTCTCTAACAGTCTACTTGCATTCAGACAAGAACGGACTTAGCAAAACAGGTGACGCTTTCAACTGTACAAATATATTATTTCCCATAAATATTCCTAATGAAAGAGGTGGTCTGTTTCAGAGGAAGTTACTGCAGTGAAGACTTTTAAATGACCGAAAAGAAATTGTTCCCAACCTTGATAAGTATGGGCATGGAGGCTTGAAGGTTGAGTTATTAGGTGTGGAAAGGTAGAGTCGCGAAAACCTCTCCCACGTACATTCTAAAGTAAACTGCCCTACAACGTGGCAGAAAACATCTTTCATTGCCATTCTCTTACATCAGAATCTTACCCTGTCTTCCTCCATCCAAACAAAGTGAACTCAGATACAAAGAAAGGGTGTTTTACTCTAATGAAACGTTTCGGGCAGATGAGAGTTTATGCTGGGATTTCTTCACTTGACTGTGCTAAAAAATTTTTTTATATAAATACAAGAAAACAAAAGAGAAAAATAGGAATACTTCTAACCAAAATTCAAATGTAAACAATTTTCAATGCTCAGAATTTTGATTAACCTTCATCTGACATTTAGCTATCAGTTTGGACTTTACCAGTTAACAAAGAAAAGTAAAAATAAGATTCAGGTTTGAAAGGGTATTTTTTTTGTTCCCCTTTCCCCAACAGCGATTATCCGATTCAAGAAGGGCTGTGTTTCTCTCCAATTGTATGCTTAAATCTGGAATCAAGATGGGAGCACATTGTCCCACCGGCTGTTTCCTAAGTAACAAGTCAGTGTTCTGTGTTTCATAGACGGCAGACCTCTGATTTCACACACTGAAGCGTGGAAAAGCCCCATGTACTGGAGCCAGAGGTCTGAATCCAGACTTTTCTAGTACATAGTTTCAGCCTATTCTTAGAGTTAAGTGCAGTGAATATCTTCATTTGTATACTAGCGTTATATTTGGGCAGATTCCTAGCTACTATAATGCTCTGTGTGTATGTGTGTGTGTGTGTGTGTGTGTGTGTGTGTGCATACACGTTTGGAATTGGGGGCACAAGAGCAGTGGGGTGGGGGCAAACAGAGAGGAAGAATCAGGGACACAGAAAGCCTCTGCTTTGGGATATTACACGTCCTCCTTTTCTACTATCTTATTCACAATGAATTTAAAGAAGAATAACATTATTTAAGGAAGTAAATCTCCCTTTCCTTCTTTCTTAAAATTGGTCACAGTTAAAGCAGATGATCTACTCTGTCTCACGACTGTTCAGATGTGATGTTTCTATTCTCTGGCTTACTTTTTGTGCATGATACACGCACACAAGTTTTCTGCTCTTTAAACCTCATCACTGTTGGCTGACAATGAAATTGGCTATAACATCTCATTCTTTGTTGCATCCTGATGTTCTTTCTTTGTGAAATTGATACCTCTCTGTAATGAATGTAATTTAATGACAGGAGCAAACAACGCTAATCACAATGCTATGCACGAGAAGGATGTTATACCATAAGACTACTTTGCAGAAAAAGGACATTTCGTGTTGGAATTGTTTGATTTGATTGTGGTGAAAAGAAAATGTTAGTGTATTCAAATCAAATCAAATAGTAAGCAGTCAAAAGCAAAATATGTAAAAGGATCTCAATTTTCAGAGGAAATGTACTGTATTTGATTACTACTCATTTAACATTCTGCCAGTGTAAATTTCATTAATTAAGTAAAAAATTACATAACCTGTTAACCTTGTAAGTTATTCAAAGAAAAAATTTTAGTTCAAAGCCTGAAGAGAATGCAATTGTGTTACTTTTGGTATAAAGAATGCTTCTTCGTGTTACTTCCAAGCGGGTTTAAGTGAATGACTGATGGCTTCCATTTCTTTTTTTATTAAATTTTTTTTTAACGTTTATTTATTTTTGAGACAGAGAGAGACAGAGCATGAACAGGGGAGGGGCAGAGAGAGAGGGAGACACAGAATCTGAAACAGGCTCCAGGCTCTGAGCTGTCAGTACAGAGCCCGACGCGGGGCTCGAACTCATGGACCGTGATTTCATGACCTGAGCCGAAGTCGGACGCCTAACCGACTGAGCCACCCAGGCGCCCCCTTTTTTTTTTTATTAATTTTTTTTAATGTTTATTTATTTTTGAGACAGAGAGAGACAGAGCATGAACAGGGGAGGGGCAGAGAGAGAGGGAGACACAGAATCTGAATGACAGCTTCCATTTCTAAGAGCTTTATTTGCGTGTAAGGAATGTACTATTATGTGCATTAATATAATATAATATAATATAATATAATATAATATAATAATGTATAATATAACAATATAATAATAAAGGCCCTTTAATTATGAACCTGTGCTGTGTTTGTAGCTGCACACAGTGGGCTTACACAGGGAACAAGAAAGATGCAGTTTGTCCCCTAGAAGACACAGTCCAGTGGCTCATTTAGAAAAATTAACCAATTAACCAAGTTTTCACATGATCCAATTTACTTGTTTAATAAGTATTTCTTAGTAAATAACTCTCAAAAGATAACTTCTTTTTTTTTCTTAGAGTTTATTAATTAATTAATTTATTTATTTATTTTGAGAGAGAGAGAGAAAGAGAGAGATCAGAAGCCAGGGAGGAGCAGGGAGAGGGAGACAGAGAATCCCAAGCAGGCTCTGCACTGTCAGTGCAGAGCCCAATGTGGGGCTCAAACCCACAAACTGAGATCATGACCTGAGCTGAAACCAAGAGTTGGATGCTTAACCGACTGAGTCACCCAGGTGCCCCTCAAAAGATACTCTACTGAGTGACAAACTACTTTTTACAAATTCCAAATTTGTGGCATTTGAATTAATGAAACATTTCTAAAACATTTCCAAAACTGTTTAGGTTGAGAATTTTAAAACATCCCGGATATGTGGTCTAGCCATTCTTTTATGCCAGCTTTATATCTTGAACGTGACTTCATCACCTTTACCAGTTGTTTTGCACTGTCTTCCCCTTTACAAGTGTCTTTGAGGGCAGACAGTTTTATAGACAGCTCAGGATCTCCAGCATTAAATGACAGCATGAGCTAACACAGTTTAAAATTGTGCTAAAAGTCCACCTTTTAAGAAAAAAAATTTTAATTGAAAATATCATTTTAATACAAAGTAATAGATGTTCTAAATTAAAATAAAGTCATACCATAAAGGAAAGTTTAAAGAAGAAAATAAAAGTCCATTGTAATTCTGTCAAACACTCAGAAATCAGCATGGGTACCATTTTGACGTATTCACTATTTTGACATGTTTGTCCAGATATTTTTCTATGGATATTCATATACCTTTTAAAAACCAAAATGTGTGGGGTGCCTGGGTGGCTCAGTCAGTTAAGGGTCTGACTTCAGCTCAGATCATGATCTCACAGTCTGTGAGATCAAGCCCCGTGTTGGGCTCTGTGCTGACAGCCCAGAGCCTGCCTCAGATTCCGTGTCTCCTTCTCTCTCTCTGCCCTTCCTCCGCTCATGCTCTGTCTCTCAAAAATAAATAAAAGTTAAAAACATAAAACCCAAAATGTGCATTTATGCTATACAATCTAACTGACTTTTTCACTTAGCAATATATCATGAGCATCTTTTGATACAGATAAGTACAGAAGCCATCACTATTCTCAATGCACTTTAAAGCATTACACCGTGTAAATATAACAAAATTAATCCAATCAACTTTCTGTCATTAACCATTTATGTTCTTTTCAGGGTTTGTTAGATTGTTGGTTGGCTGCTATGTATGAAATACAATTAAAAAACATTTATTTTATTTTATTTTATTTTATTTTATTTTATTTTTTTATTTTTATTTGAGAGAGAGAACCAGAGTATAGCAGAGGAGGGACAGAGAAAGAGGGAGACACAGAATCTGAAGCAGGTTCTAGCCGCTAGCCATCAACACAGAGACTCAAGTTCAGGAACCACGAGATCATGACCTGACCTGAAGTCAAACACTTAACTGACTGAGCCACCCAGGCGCCCCTGAAATATAATTTAGAAAGTGACTTTGTTTTTTGTATCTCCTTAGAAAGAACTAGTTTTAAAAACCCCATATACACAATCAAGAGGCCATTTGTGGTCACATCCTGATTCTGCTTTCCTAGATGTTTCTAAGGATCTGCTCCCTAAGATGTATACTTGTGAAGTGAATTTTGTTTCTTTAATGTTCAGAGCATCAGGAAGAAAAATCATAGAACATGTGGATTCTGCTTGTATTCCTTATGAGTCTGGGAATAAGACATTTTCCCTGTGTAGAAAGCGATGGCTTTCAGCACACTTATACCGAATAATCAAAAAAATACTGTCAATTTAAAATTTTGATGACTTCATATTGCTATGAGAAAAAAAAATCTATTTCTAAAATCAACTACTCTGTTACATAGGCAGCACTGACCAAGTTTAAGAGAAGTTAAGAAAAACCTACTGTCTCTTTAGAAATGGTACCTAATTGATACAGTGGACTTTTAAAAAAGATGGATGTTTTTTAGATGTCCAAAGCACAAGATTATTGCTTAAGGAATCAAGAAAGCAAAAAGAAAAGTAAATGACTAGAACATTTCACTAACTGCCTATATTCTTTATTTCATCCCCCAGAACCTTGAAGGAAAAACAGAACTGCGTTCCTCAGCTCTATCCTTTCTGCTCATTTCCTGTCACCCAAGATGTGATTTTTCAGTGGTGGTCTCCATTTTAATTCACATATGGCTGCTAGATCAAGGGACTGACATTATCTAGAAATCTGTGAAGTAAAAAACATCCAAGACCCATTCCCTGGGGGCAGAAAAAGGAGGGTAGAAAAAAAGGTGTGTGTGTGGGGGGGGTGGAGTGGGAATCTCTAATCAGGGTTCTCTGTTCATTGTTCTAGAAGGTTCTAGAATGAACAGGAGTGTTTCTGAGTGTTCCTGAGTGAACATAGATTCTAATGCTGCTGTACATTTTTCTTATTTCTTTGTCATTTCCATTTATAGACTGAATTAAAACCCTCAGTCCTAAATGAAAACCTGGCCTTCTGCATGGTTGGGGAGGAGGCCAGAATCTCTGCCTTGCTGCTTTTTATCTCCATCATCTCCTGCCAACAGACTGCCTCGTATGTAAAGCCACATTTGGCTTACTCTCATGAACATTATGATTATAGCCTAGGGTTGCCTGAATAACATCTTCCTCTGTCATATTTTGATAGATCCCTACTCTTTTTCTAACATAGATGAGGAGGGGTGAGCCACTTAGGGGAAGTTACTGTTTCTTTCTTGAGATGCTCCGTGAGGAGAATCCATTGGGCCAGGGTGGGGCTAGGACCCGGCTGAAATCTTGGCGAGAGCCAGTGGGTGGACCCCACCTAAAAGCTGACAGAACACAAGGTCCTGGTCCAAGCTGTTCCGCAGACGTAAGCCATTGCCTTCCAGTTCCAGCTGATCTGGCTTAGTGGATGAAATGGCATCTTTCCCTGAGGAACTTCCATTCCTGAAATTTCACTCAAGAGATATGCTGCTTGTGATAACAACGTGTCAAAGAAGTCAGCCTTTTACACCCAGACCCTGGGTGACCTCAGATTCAGGAGACATACCCACAGTCCTTCTCTCTTTGTGGAGAGAAGCCTCCGGGGGGGGGGGGGGGAAAACCCCCCCTCGTTTGTGGTGACCACTCCGTGCTTACCACAGAGCTTGATGTCTGGGGTGGAGAGCCTGGCCACATGGCCTCGGGGGGTATGGGGGGACGAACTAATGCTGGAGGCCAGGGCTGCTGATGCGATTATTTATTATTTCACTGAATTACTGCTGAGTGACAAGGGCGCTTTGCGTTCCTGCAGGCTGGCATCCATGGAACATATTTTTAACATGAATCGCTAAAGAAATAACAAAATATGAAATGGCTAATTAAAGAGCCATTTCACAAAGGTCCTGCCTGATGACAAGTTTTTTGATCAGTCTCACCATTTGCTAATTTCCAAGTGGAATGAAATCAGAGTCCATGAATCCAGGGCTCAAAGCTGGGGCTGGGGGTGGCTGGGAACAGGGAGAGAAGCAATAAGGCTGAACTATTGGATCTACCTTACTGCATTCATAATGTTTGAGTGAGTTCATTGTATTTTGGAAAGCTCTGTGTGGCCCCTCAGTTTTTGGTGGGAGGTATGGACCCCTAGTCACAAAGCAAGTGATTCTAGCCTATTATGGTATTTCTAAGACTAAGTATTCCCTTTTTAATGTAAAACTCAATGCCCTTGGCAGATTTTTTTTTTCCTCCTCTTTCATATTAACCATGAATAAAAACTTGAGTGAGTCTTTTCCTGCAGTGCAGTGAAATGTTACATTGTTTTCTGGGAGATTTTAAAAGCCTTCAAAGCAGGTAATCATGTTCTGAGGTCCATGAGTGATGAAGACCAAAGTCTCTATTAATCTTTGTGTGAGTATACCTTTGGAGTTTATAGAAAAGAGGAAAAATGGACAAAGAGTGTTTTCTCCATTGTGTGACAGGCTAATACTTAAACAGCTCCTTACTTAGAGGTCGGTTTCCTTATGTAGGGAAGACAACACCCTGGGAGCTTCCACAGCTTCCACAAAAGATCTCTTAAGCATTAGGAAGGAATATTATGAATTGCCCTATTGTTTGCCTTTGACTTCTATAAAGGGAGAAGATCAGTCCCAGCCCAGCAATAGAAGTACGCACAAAACAGAAGAGAACACGAAGGGACTTCGGTTTCCTTTTTATCTCAATACACACGGGCTAGTGAAATGACATCGTAAGTCATGTTAGGATTCTATTTCCCTTAGCATCGCGTACCACTGTGGGACCTCTGTGTTTTGGTAAGCGTTCCGCTGCACCAACAAACTGTCCCCAAACTTAGTGGCTTAAACCAACCATTTTATTTTGTTCACAATTTTGTGGGTCAGGCATGCAGGAAGGCATAGGCTGGGCAATTCCTCTCTGATTCACAGAAGTCAGCTGGGCCTGCTGGGACTGGAGACCCTTTCCAAGGTGACTACATCCATGTATCTTGTACCTCTGTGCTTCTCAGCCTCTCTCCTCCTCCCCCTCCGTTCTCCTCCCTCTCCTTCCTCCTCCTCCTCCTCTTCCCTCTCCTCCACCACCCTTTTTCTTCTTTTTCTCCGCCTCCTCTTTCTTCTCCTTCTCCCTCTCCTCCTTCTTTTCCCTCTTGTTTTCTCTCTCTCCCCCTACGCATTGACATCTCTTCTGCTAAGCCTTCTCCATGTGGCTTGACCTCTTCCCGGTATGGTGGTCTCAGAGTAGGCACCCTCCTTACTTGGGGATTGGCTTCCAAGAGGCAAGAAGTGAAAGCAGCCAGGCTAGGGAAGACCTCCAATGATTTCACTGCTACGCCCACGAGAAGTTGACTGGTGAAAGCAGTCACAGGGCCCACTCACATTTAAGGGCTGAAGACACAGATCCCTTCTCTTAATGGGAGATGGACAAGGTCACACTGCAGAAGGGTATGTGGGATACTGTCATTTTTAGAAACTATGTAACAGTAAGAAACAAAACTCTGACAGCTCTGCTGAAGAAAATTTTATTGTAGGGGCGCCTGGGTGGCTAATTGGTTAAGCGTCCAACTTTGGCTCAGGGCGTGATCTCACGGTTCATGGGTTCAAATCCCGCATCGGGCTCTGTGCTGACAGCTCAGAGCCTGGAGCCTGCTTTGGAGTCTGGGTCTCCCTCTCTCTCTGTCCCTCCCCTGCTTGCACCCTGTCTCTCTCTCAAAAAGAAATAAACATTTAAAAAATGTTTAAAGAAAGTTTTGCTGCAAACATATCACCTGTGGAGTCTTCGTTTTCTACTCTGATATCCAAGGATGCATTTCTTTCTTAAATTTTCAGTCTGTGTCCATTGGGAATCTCCATGCAGGTCACCTCCTCTCTGAAGCCCACCGGGCAGTCTGCCTTGCCTCCTTCAGGGCTCCAGCACTGATGTCACTTCCATTACATCACCTGTCAACCTGCTCTGGTGCTACCTGTCCATCCTCACTGATGGACTGTGAATTGAGGCAGAAGTTGTGTCTTATTTATCACCATAATTGAGAACTGAGTGTTCTTTTCGAATTTTAGCTTGCGTGAATTCTATTGATTGACTTATTAAGTGAATAAATGTCACCCTGACTCCAGGAGCTTGGCCCCGGAAGTTCATTCATGTCGGTTCAGGAGAGAGTATAGACTAGAAATGGAAGCACGGTTTGCCTAATAGGAGTGTTTTATTTTGTAGGAGCAGCATGGAGAACCTGTGTTTTCGGATGCAGAGGTGGGGATGTAGAAGCTATTAAAGCAGGGAGAACCAGCTTCAGCTGGCCATCTTTCACCTTCATTTTTACTACATTGGCTCCTGGGGACAGCTCATTCATGAATATGGCTGCAGTGAGGGTGGCCCCAAATGGGTTCCTTCTATTATTCAGACCATTGGCATATGTGGATCCCCCAAACCTCTTGAGTGGATCCAGAGTAAAAATTTTTTGCTTCTGAAACCTCTGGGGACTTAAATGTAATGACATATATGTATTTGTGTGTGTATGTATATCTCTATCTTTCCTGTATGTATGTATGTATCTATCTATCCATCTGTCTATCATATCAATCTATCATCTATCTGTCTATCTATCATATCTATCTATTTATCTATCTATCTATCATCTATCTGTCATATCTATCATCTATCTATCCTCTATCATCTATCTATCTATCAAGAGTGAGACAGACAGAGACAGAAAGATAGAAAAACTGCTTAAAGTATTACTTTGATAATACTATTAAACATTACAGCTTTGTTGCAGGAAAATAGAACTACTCTAACCCTCCTTAAATCTAGGTCATATTATGGAGTATTTTATTTATAAATTTTTTTTTCCAAATACATTTTACCAATGAAAGAAAAACCCAAGGATAATGCCAGGAAGATTTTCCTACTTGGAATTGGGGGTGAACCAAACCCACATCTTCTTCAACTGATAATACCACTGATAAGAGAGAAGTGGACGGGGGCGCCTGGGTGGCTCAGTCGGTTAAGCATCCGACTTCGGCTCAGGTCATGATCTCGCGGTCCGTGAGTTCGAGCCCTGCATCGGGCTCTGTGCTGACAGCTCAGAGCCTGGAGCCCGTTTCAGATTCTGTGTCTCCCTCTCTCTGCCCCTCCCCTGTTCATGCTCTGTCTCTCTCTGTCTCAAAAATAAATAAACGTTAAAAAAAATTAAAAAAAAAAGAGGGAAGTGGATGAGTGGTGAATAGCAGCTAACTAGCCTATTTATTTACAGAAAATAGGATTTGATTAAACACTCTCTTCAACAGTTCTTACCCATCAAAGAATTAGAACCACTCTGCCTCCCAAGTACAACCTCTCAGGAGGAAATGATCTGGAAGAGAAAAAATTTTCTCCACCTCAAAACAGGAGTAGGGAAAATATGGAAACAAATATTTTTGGTCTTGTATTTAGTAATTTTAAAATTCCATGCTCAGCACTCCAATGACTCCCCCTCCCCTTTAGATTGAATGATGTTTTTTTTGCTCAGAGAATTCTAATGTAATTTTTGATGTCTTAATCACATTTGTTTATCACCTTTTTCTTTGTTTATCACCTTTGAGACTTGCCTACTGTCTAGAATGAATAGCTTACTTGCTGAATTAGGGGCAAATGTAGACAAAGTTTGTGCTCCCCAGTTGGGAAAGAGATTAGAATGGCCGGATCCCAAGGGCACGTTGGCAGTCCGCTCTGAGCAGAGCATCTGTGGCGTCACAAGTGGATCCAATCCAATAGGAGACTCAGGAAGCTCCTTTCAACTTCAGCTTATCTGAAGGCTTACCTGGCAAAGACTGTCAGCTCTAGGGCCACCCACTGCGTGTGAGTCAGAAAATGTCAGATTTGGGAGAAAGTGGCCCCACCTAATCAAAGGGATGGTGGCACAAACAGGGAGCCCTGTTCGACTGCCTGAAGGACCACATCCCTGTGGTTTGGGGGCAGAGAGCTCTGCTGGGCTCCTGGAGGGATTGGCTCTCCCAGCGTCAAGTCGGTGCCGACATCAAGGAGGAGGCCAGGAGCTGTGCAGCTGTGCTGTGCATTCTCGTACACACGTGCTTTCCAGGGAGCTTGCACCTTACGTGTTCATCACATGCCAGAGAAGCTATATGACAAGAGTGAAGGCCATAGGCTGTGCACAGTTAGACAAAATATTCTTGCATGTGGGTCTCAGGGTCCTTAGGTAAGATTTTCATTTTGAGCTGGGGCAGCTGTGTGTGTGTGTGTGTGTGTGTGTGTGTGTGAGAGAGAGACAGAGAGAGAGAGAGGGAAAGAGAGGGAGAGAGAGGAGAGAGAATATGTATAGCTCTGACACAGAAATTAATGACATATATTCGAAAACATTTCTGAGCTCTTTCTCAGTGCTAAGCTGTACGCTAAGTTGTAAGGGATCATAGAAACGAGTAAGGTGCGACACTGATCTCATAAATGCCACAATCTGGTGGGAGAGAGAAACACACATATAAATATTGATATGAAGCAGGCTGTGAAATGTGCTACAATAGGACAAGATAAAGCACTGTGCAAGTAGAGTAGATGGGTGGATGCATTTTAGTTGGCAATATCTCGGAAAGGCTTTCTGGAAGTATGGGCAGTGGGCCCAGGCTCGGAGGATGAGTGAGTTTGGCAGGCTCCCTTGGGGCAAGGGAGCCAGTGGCAGGATTCCCGGCAGAGGGAACTGTATGAACAGCCGTCCAGGGAGAAGGTGCAGGCCCTGTGTGTGGAGCAGCATCACTGGGATGGTGTGGGGGCATAGGGTGAGGGTGGGGAAGAGGCTATAGAGAGTGTAGAGCGAGAGAAGGAAAGGTAGTTCCGGTGACACTGTGCGATCACATCTGCAGGCACCGAGTTACTAAATCTGGACTTTGCCTGGCATGTAATGAAGGGCCACTGAAGATATATGACTTGGGGCAGGAGTGTGTGTGTGTGGGCATGTGTGTGCACGCCGGGGAGGGGGGGGGTAGGCAGGGCAAGGAGGGAGGATGTGAGGGGTCCCCTGCTTTGGAAGGGGCGAGCAGGGGAGACCAGTGAGCAGGGTATTGTAGTAACTCAGCCCAGAGATACTGAGATTCTACAAAAAGGAAGAGAGCATAGCAAAGAGGAAGCAGATTCAAGGTTTATTATGAAGGCAAAATTGCCAGGGTTTGCTAATTAGAGCTGGGGGATGAAGGCATAGAAGAGCTATACAGGGGCCCCACGGCACCAAGCCGGGCTGAGATGGAGAATCAGGAGGAAAAAGTGTGAACATCCATGCATTCATTTATTTATTTTTCTTTTTTCTTTTTTTTTTTAATTTATTTTTCATTTTTTAAAATTTACATCCAAATTAGTTAGCATATCGTGAAGCAATGATTTCAGGAGTAGATTCCTTAGTGCCCCTTACCCATTTAGCCCATCCCCCCTCCCACAACCCCTCCAGCAACCCTCAGTTTGTTCTCCATATTTATGAGTCTCTTCTGCTTTGTCCCCCTCCCTGTTTTTATCTTATTTTAATTTCCCTTCCCTTATGTTCATCTGTTTTGTCTCTTAAAGTCCTCATATGAGTGAAGTCATATGATATTTGTCTTTCTCTGACTAATTTTGCTTAGCATAATACCCTCCAGTTCCATCCACATAGTTGCAAATGGCAAGATTTCATTCTTTTTGATTGCCAAGTAATACTCCATTGTATATATATACCACATCTTCTTTATCCATTCATCCATCGATGGACATTTGGGCTCTTTC